GGTTTCTTATTCTTGATGCTGCTTGATTGCTTGATTCTGGAGAAAAGGACATTTAGTTTGTTTTTCACGTTGAACGGTAAATGGGAATCATCAAATTTGCCAACAATATCTGTAAGGGAGGCCACAAGATTTTCTAGAAGATTGTCATTAGAGGATATTACATTGTTTTGTAGAGCATGTCCATTGGGGAGAGATGAGGAAGGAGTACCTACTTGTAATGTTATAATGTGAAACTTTATCATAACCTACTGAAGACTGCGCTGGAATAGATTTGGCTTTATAGATGGTTTTCCTATAGGATTGGGAAGGAGATGGAAAAGTAGGATGGTTTATAGGAGCCTGAGTAGAGGGGAGATAGCTTGCAGGAACTTGTGAGGATGCAACATCAGAATAAGGTCTTCTGACAGCTGGGAAGCGAGCAGAAGCCTCAAAGTATCACACATTCTCTTGCGACATTACTATCTTGATAGTTTTTGCCTTGAGTGTTCAGGGCAACTTTTTTCAATGGCCGAATGATTTGCAGGGCAGAAAAGACAGGTTGGGGAATCTGTGGGACAATTTTCTCCAGTATGCTCTTTGCTGCACTTAAAGCAGCGTGGTTTGGATCGACATTGAACTTTGACATGACCGAAACGGCAGCATTTTGGACACTGGATGGTAGGGAGAAGGTAAGTCTCTACAGGTATTGATGCATAAAAGCAGTATATATGGGAGGGGAGCACTTGTCCAGAGAAGGTTAGGACAACAGTTTGAGTAGGGACCCACTCTACTTCATCACCCTTCTTGATCTTTCTATTAAGTCGTCTGGCTTTAATGATTTCCCCTCTGCCAGGAGGGAGCTCAGATTCACAAACTAATTCATCCATAGAGATGTCAGTTGGGATACCCCTAATCACATCCATACGAGTAAGATTAAAAGTTGGAATGACAGCAGAAAGTTTATATTGTGAAAGAAACTGAGTCAATAAAATTATTAGCATCAGTAGCTGTTTTAAAAGCAATTGAAACTCTATTACGCCCTAAGATTTTGATGCCCTGTTTTTCAATATTGGCTACTTTATTTTGTGAGAGGATATGGCCTATTTTCACAGGTCTAATTGTATAACCTGCTGATGGATCAGGTTCTGAGCGACTTAAGTGAATAACGAAGGGGCCTTTATCGCTATCTACATACTTTTTTTTTCTTGGAATTCAGGGTGGACGAATGTATTTTGATAGGAGGCCGAAGGATGATCTTCGTGCCCTATTTTTTTCTTTAGGAAGCTGGGTAAAGGATCCGTAAGTTTACGTTTGACAGAGCTAGAATCACCGCATAAGTCCGGTGGTTCAGCGTCTCCTCCGTCAACATCCATCGTCGTCACAAAGATCTACATCAACTATCTAAACAAATGATACTCACCAACTAACAAACAGAACACACACAGACAACACAAAGAAAATTGAGAAAGTTTACGCAAATTTAAACAGAAAAAGAATTAAAAACTTATTTCAGTAGAAAAACAACGTGTAACCACCAATCACTCTGACAGCAGAATCTTCGTGTGTTTCGAGAAGGAATCAAAGTTACGCCATTTATGATGGCTACAAGTGAATTGCGTCGTTCAGACAGGAGAAGAGTAATTCCAAATAATCTTCTTTACACTGCAATGAAAATAATGCATCAGAGTTTGCAATGCTTTGAAGATTGGTTTCAGACACGTAGGTAAGGATACCGATATAAGTAAAGAGCGCATATTATCTGATGATTACATTAATCAACAAATGGAATTTGTCTAACAAATTTAGATTTTATGAAGTCAATACCTAATTCTGCAGCTTATTGGTCTGCGCGTAAGCGGGATCGTTTTGCAATGATGCACCAGTTAGGTAGGCCAACTGTGTTTTGACAATAAGTGTTAATGAGATCGGATGGCTGAGTCTACACAAATTCAAAAATCAGTGTGGAGATCTAACAGATGAGCAGATTGAAGCATTAAATTATTTTCAAAAAACAACTCTGATTAAGGATGATGCCGTCTCCTGCGCAAATATTTCAATAAGTTGGTAAATGTAATCATGTATTATATATGTACAGTCAAATAAGTAGTCCTTTTGGGAAATATCGAGTTCTTCGTTACTTACCTACTTTATGCGTATTGAATTTCAACATAGAGGTAGTCTATGTAATATATTTTGATGAAAATAAATTATATAATTAAAATTAATGAATATATCATGCATATTTTTATTAATATAAAAAATGTGTTTATTTACCTTTATTTGCTAATCTATATATTAATTTTATAATCGTTCGTAAGGAGTAAACTCCAGTCGTGTGTCGGAGCTGACACACACACACACACTATTCGAGTCGTATTTAATAAGGCCCTTTTTTTAATTAATCCCTTCAGCCATTTGCCCAAACCTAACTTGGACAGATAATCGTCCATATTTTTACGGATAAGTCCAGACTGATATAACTATTGGTACAATAATAGTAGAATCAACGTCCCACATAGTGACAATGTCATGAGCCAAGTCGATATTATTATTATTATTTTGTATTTATAAAGTATTCTCATCTAGTTGGGCTGAATAGATATTTAGGAGTAAATGATAAATATACCAACATAAATAATTAAAAGCCCAACCAGATAGAAGCCCTCGGCAGGAGAGACCAAACGGCCGAGGGTTAGGGGGAAAGGGAAAGAAACCGGCGGACGGTGCGGACGGCTTAGATTATGTAGAGTAAATAATCTAAGGCGGGCGGTATCGAGAATTATTATTATTATATTATCTTAGGCGGGTACCGTCTACTTTATACGAAAGTATCCAGTTTTTGACGCACTACGAAAAATATTATTGCTATTATTAAATGACACTACAAAATAGCAGAAAGAAGCAGTATGTGATGAGAATAGTGTGTTGCTAGTTGATCTTTCATAGACGCGATGACTTATCATTAATCTAAGTTGATCTTTCTTAAAACTGAAAATGAAACAGGTATTAACGAATTTTCTTGAATTCTTACTTTTACTGATGACTGCTATGGCCAGAACAAATTAAGTACATTTTTCCTACGTGCCAAGGTCCGTCTATGCTGTTAAATTATTTGGTATTTCCATTGTGCACAAATATTTTCGAAACTAGGCACAACCGGCGATTCCATGCTTGTGTATGTAAAATTATGTAAGAGTTGATAGAGAGATATGAAACAAGAAGAGGGTAGCAGCATCTTCCTGATAACAAATCAAAATAATAAAAAAAATCTGACCACCGCAGTTTTTTCTTTGCGTGACAACTGTAGCAAATATCCCAATATATGTTTAGATTTTTGATAGACTGTGATGAATAATTAATGATGTAATAAGGATAAAAATGAAAATTATGACATAAAAAGACTAGTTAGTTTAGATCATTGGCATCATGACAAAGATGGTAAGTAACGTAATTCGATAGCCCGATATTTTGGAGGTCAGTGTTTCACGTTTACAAGAAAATACACTCTTTTGAAGTATAAATAAAAAGCTCCACTGTCGATGAATATAAGACGAAGAAGACCAAAGAAGCGTACCCATACATTTGGAGAATGTATAATTGCCACAAGTAGGTATAGCGCCAGCTAATTCGAATAAGCAAAGCTTTGCATATAAGTAGATGCTTTTCTAGGACACGCTTTTAACATCCTTTGAAATCAATGTTTTGCGATAATGAAAATATTTAAAATTAATTAAATTTCACGTGGAAAGGTTTAGAACAACTTATAATAATGTGATTGAAGAGACTTAAATTTTATTACTTTTATTCATTTTTCAATAACAATTAAAATCTATCTCAACTAATATTATTATTAACTTAAATTTTAAACTACGTTTAATACTCCTTTTTTTGATCACATAACAATTTGTGAAGATTATTAAGATATGATGACTGTGTAATTTTAATAATATAAAATAAAATAATATGCTGAAACTCATATGCAGTTTTAATAATTTTATCATAAGCCTTGACAAAAATTTGCAAGTATTAGATTATTAATATAAGTATATATAATACATCTACAGAATCTAGGGTATTTTAAATTTTATCAATTAAAACTATTAATTTAAATTAAATTTGAAAAAATCTTATAAAATCTAATTATTAATAATCAGTGTTGACACCTCTGACATTAATTACACATTGACATCGATTGTTCATAGTTCATACCACAAAATAATAAGAAGTGCGTTCATACCTAAAACTCCTCTAGGAGTAATAGTGTTCTGTGATTGTCAATGTCTTGCTGCGGTATGAGGTCCCATGTGGTCTTTGCAAGTGTTCGTAAAGTTGTTGTTCCATCGTCAAATTTGGCGGGAAATCTCCTAAAACTTTTCATTGTAACATGTCCCAGGCATGCTCGAAAGGATTAAAGTCGGGCGACTGTGCAGGCCAATCCAAAACTTGAATATCGTGGTCTCGGAGAGCGGCCGAGACTGCCACGTCGCAATGCTGGAACACATAGCTGTCTTCGAGCATAAACACCAACTTCATGCAACTTCCTTCGCACGGTTTGGTCACTTACCAGCAGCTGGTGGTCATCCTGGAGCCTTTGTAGTAGTTGCATCGCTGTAATATTGGTTTGTCTTCTGGCGGTCATTTGGAAAATCGATCGTCTCTGCGTAGTAACACGATATTTACCCGCGTGCCGTTCAGCCACATCCCCAGTACTGCGATAACGTGACCACAACCTTGATATCACGTTTTGGCTGGTGTGAAGGGCCTCAGCAACGACGCGTTGAATTTTTTATTTTTCTATATTCGCATTTTCTAACATGCCCACGGCTCCTAACATTTCATCTCGACTCAAATGATGATGTGACATGACTTACATCTCACACGGCACCTTCAATTAAAGAAGAAAAACAATCTAATCCCTTTTCATTAATTAATATCAGTAGAACACTTTTAATTTTACTTGACGTAACGAATTACTAACAATATTGTCGCCGTATTTTTTTCTTTTTTTAATTTTAATTTTTAAATTTCGAAAATAGAATATAAGAGGTTTCAATATGTACTTATATAAACTTTTAATGAAAACCAAAAAAATTTTTAAACTATAACATATGTACATATCCCTAGATTCTGTTGATGTGTGTATAAATCTATACACATAAATAAAATTGAAGTGTCTGTTTTTAATGTCTAAATAACAGCTTTTCACAAAATGCATAATATGCAAGTACATATATACCGCACTAATAACAAAAAACTATTTTTGATAATTTTGTCTGTTTGTTCCGCCTAATCTCCGAAACGGCTGGACCGATTTTGACAGGACTTTCACTGGTAGATAGCTAATGTTATAAGGAGTAACTTAGGCAACTTTTATTTTAGAAAAGGAATTAGGGTTCCGCGCAAAAAAAACTAAATCCCATGAAATCCAATCGTAATAAATTCCACGCGGGTGAAGTGGCGGGGGACATCTAGTAGAGAATATAATTTTTATGTATAGGTACCAAAAAGAGTTTTATGTCTTTGCCTTCGTCTAACCTACTTTAAAGTACAACAATAACTTAGTTAAAATGAATGAAGTGCATTAAATTTTGCCTCTTAAATAAAAATGGTCCAATAAGTCAGTAGTAGAATATTGCTATGACATCACTTTTGATTTACCACAATAACCACGTAAGTTAATGTTACTGAAATACATTGTTATTAAATTTTCAGTAATTTATATTTTCCCATATTTCTTGCATTCAAAATTATTTAACTCAACGCTAACATCAAAATCAGATTCTATAAAAAAATTACTTACATTTGATACTACATCATTCACTTTAATATTCTAATGAATTACATGTATAATATACAATAAAAACACTCAGTCATAATACATGTAATATATTGCAATCAAGATTCAAGAATAACTTATAATAACTATCTGCTTACCTTCTTACAATATGCTTAATTCAAACTAAACTAAATTAAGGAACATAAACATGCAAAATTTATCACAGGAGACAATTTTACATAAAAATATGCACTAAAAATACATTTTACCTGCATTTTTACAATAAGCGTCGAAAGAAAAAGTTCGGAAATGATACTTATTATAATTTATTTACTTATTTATTTAATTTATATTTGAAAGATTTATTGTACTAATCATAAAGATTACAGAAGGCGGACTTAAGGTGACACTAGTCGACAATATTTCCATTGATTTCCATACAAATTTCGGAGGGGTTTTACTACGCTGTTTGACAGTGTACATCCAAAGTTAAACATGATATCGTTTTGTCTCATTATCAAATTTGTCTGTACGGAAACAGAATAGTAAAATAAAATGTTATTAAAAAGTTACGAGCTACCAAAGATTCGTTTTTATTGCCAATTTTAACACAACTTTGGGCGTAAATTAGTAATAAAAGAAGTGTGAAATTTCCAAAACAAAGTCGGTACCGACACAGCTCAATTATCGAAGAATTCAAGAAATTTTATTCGTAATTAATTTATGCAGTGGTTTTTTCATAAAACCCCTTCTTCCAAAGGCCTTTTCGTATTTTTTTACGCGCGTATGTTACTATGAATTATCGTGCATCTCACTGAATAATGTTTGCCCCGGTGCGGTGCGGGAGGACGACGCTTACACACACATGCACGGGCGGTGACGCGGGCTTATTCGAGTTTTATTCGAAACGAAAAGTTTTGCTATTTTGTAATTTGGACGCCAAAGACAAAAGACAGCATGGAAATTGATATAATTGAAAGAGATGATGCGTTTTGGACGACAGACAATTTTGTTTTTTATTTCAATTTTCGTCTGTAATATAATATAATTATAAAAGAAAAAAAATTAAGTCTATAATATACGATTACTATATAAAATTGCAACAATTTCATTGGTGCCGACGGGGATCGAACCCGGGTTGCTCGCGTAGTGTGATACTTACGGCGAACGATAACCATCTGAGCTACCACGGCTCTCAATGCAAGTGTTATAAATAAATAAAGAATTACAAAACAGTTTAATTATTTATTAGACGACTCTTGCGGCGGACAAACAAGGTATATTATGTGGGATTTTCATAGGTACCTACTGTTATTACCTAGATACCTACAACCTACAATACAACAAAATGTCACAAAACGTCACCGCGTCGTGGCCACAAAATTGTAAACTTTAGGTAGGTACGTCAGTACTAAGAAAACAATCTTGATGGGTCACTTGTCTTGATAAAAACCTGTGTTTACGTTTAGTGATATTGAGTATATATAAAAAAAAGTAAGAAGACAGGTAAGTATTTTTGAAAAAAATTTATAGGTAAGCAGAACTAATTACAATTATTATCTAAATATTATAAATGCGAAAGTTTGGATATTTGGATGGACGAATGAAAGGATGTATGTTATTCAATCACGCCAGAACCGCTGAAGGGACCTGGATGATATTTTGCTCAGAGATAGGTTATAGTCTGGAATTTTATTTTATTTTATTTTTTAAAAATACATTACCCCCGCACTAGCATTTTCTCCTGTATAGTGGAAGCAGTTTACAAACATCCAGACCCGGAACAACTATTTGTAGGCCATACAAATTTTTTTTTTCTTATTTAAAAAACGTTACACCCACACTAGGAGTTTCTCCTGTATCGTGGAGGCAGTTTACAAACATAAATTGCACAAGGACAAACATCCAGACCCGGAAGAATTATTTGTAGGCCATACAAATACTTGTTCCGTGCGGGATTCGAACCCGCGGCTCCCAGTAATATAAAATATTTCGTTCCCGTGGGATAATTTTTGCAGTTACACACGTTCGAAGCCGAACTCTTGAGTGATCGCTGCATAACCACTCGGAAAAACTAAACATAATAAAATAAGCAATCTATATTAGGTATATAGAGCCACAGAGGTATAATATGAAGCGATAAAGCAGCGCCTAATCATTTCGCGGTTTCACCCGCGTCATCATGTGTCCGAGATGCATGGCATGACATGACACCTAGTTTTATAATTGCAATCAAATATTTTATTTGATAATAATGTATGGAAAAATTGTCATAATTAATGAAGTACTTTTATTTTATCTGTCGGCATACTATGCGCGGTTTTATTCAGTTTTAAAGAAAAACGTACACGATACATGAAAAGTGTGTAGGCAAGAAATGATTCTTGATACATTTGCTATCAACCTCTTATACTCTTATACGGCTCCGTGGCGCAGTGTCTTAGCAATGAGTTGCTGAGCAGGGGGCCGCGGGTTCGAATCCCGCACGGATCAAGTATTTGTATTTGTATGGCCTACAAATAATTGTTCCGGGTCTGGATGTTTGTCCTTGTGCAATTTGTGTTTGTAAACTGCCTCCACGATACACGAGAAAATCCTAGTGTGGGGGTAACGTCTTTTTTTTAAAGAAATAAATAAAATAAAAACTTATTAATCAATTAAACTTTCAAAATACCATAGCAACGTGAAATGAAAGAGTTCAGAATTAACTAATCATTGTTACGCTCACCTGGGAGATAGATAAAAGCACTCAATTAATTTTGAATTTATTTTAGCTACCAGCTGTTCCCCGCGACTTCGTCCGCATTTAGTTTAGGGTGTTAATTTTGTTGCACGGACGCCTAATAATTTTTCTAAAATTTAAGCATTCTAAGTTACTACTTATAACATGAGCTATCTACTAGTGAAAGTCCCGTCAAAATCGGTCCAGCCGTTTTGGAAATTAACCGGAACAAACAGACAGACAGACAGAAAAATGTTAAAAATTGTGTTATAAGTAGCGTATATAATTTCATATGCAATTAGTAAAAAGCTGTTATTTTGACATTATAACAGACACTTCAATTTTATTTATTTGTGTAGATATAGATAATGATTGAACTAACGGCTAACCTAACCTCGCTCATAGAAGCTTTCAATACTGGCTTCTCAGTTCGCACCGGGCTAGGGGTTATGCGTTGTTTGCGCGTCAAGGCCAAGTATTGAATTATTTTAATTTTACATTATCTCAACTATGTACTATATAAACATGGCATAAACAACGAAGTTTATCTTCAAAAAATTGTCTTGATAATGAAGTAACTTTCGTTCGTAAGGATAAATATGCCATGCCTAATAATTAAATTTTCATTTTTTTTTTGTCAAAATAAAAATGCCTAATTGTGGCTTATACGAGTATATAAAAAATAGACATATGGTATCGCGGACTTTTTTTTAGACGGAGTAAAGATCTATATTTTCTGCTTTATTATATTAGTATAAATGTTGCATCGTGTTCGTGTAACTTCGTTTTTGTTCAAACGGTTCTGAATGCCGTACGAACAAGACGTGCGTGAATACTAGTGTCGATATGCTCATCACTGATACTATCTCTGTCGGGCACGATGCCAGGTGAGACAGCGTGCTTTTTGGCCGCGCCCACCAGCGAGTTCGAGCCCGCGACTTGTGCCACCTTAATGCCAGTTATCATTCTCTGCCAGTCAACACATGGCATGGTGAGAAATTAGTGGCAGATGACTTAAATAAATATAATAAATTTATGTACTTACGAACATTGTAACATCTACTTATATAAATAAAATAATAGAGGTTTGCACTTGTGCGCGCATCACGGAAAAACTACTGCTTAGATTTTATTTCTTAGACACTTGACCCTTATTTTAAAAAAAAATCATTGCGATATCTTCCTTTAAAATTTTAATAACTTTATATTACGAAACAATGATTTTTATAAGCACTACCTGTTCATTGAACGTTATGTGCAACGAATAACATTATTTACAAAGAAATTTTGTAAGAAAAGTTTATTTATGCTTGTGATATTTCGGATGTTTTTTCCTTCGCACATACGAAAACTTTGTTATTATATCAAGCAACGCAAAGTCGCGGGTATCATCTAGTTAAAAATAAAATTAGAAACTCGAGATAAAAATTACAATTGATATACTTTGAGAATCAATCAATCAATCCTATTTGTTATATAAACTATCGGTATGTGGGGTCCATGTGCCGTAAAGTTCTCTAAAGTAGCCGTATCCGTAACTTTACGTCGCCGCTGGTGATAAGAGGGATGGTTTTATATCTTTAAAAGGCTGACTATAGCCATTCCGCAAAGAAACACAGCCAGCATTCTTGGAACTATACCACGGGAAGTAGGTGTATGATAATTTTAGTAATGAGCTTATTTATTATTATAACAAATATTGTAAATATTTATCTTACATAGGTATTAAATACATGTTTATGAAAAAGAAAATAAAAAGTTTGCCTAATATTATGAAATTATTGAAGTAAAATAACAAGCAAAATTATGAAAATTTCCTGTAGGATGTGGAATCAATATACTGTGTAAATAGTAAATTGCACACAACTTCACATACATCAATCAGTATAATGTATAAAATGCAATTGAAGGTAGAAATTGTATTTTTATAAGTTCAATTGTTTATTTACAAAATTAACACATCATCAAAAAACAACACAAGCTTTATTTTTATTAAGAAATTCGACAGCATTTCTTTTTAATAAATATAATTAAAATAAATTATTAGCCAATAACAGTTTCACATGCTGAATAATGACTTTTGAGACTTATGAAGCAGAGAGGTAAAAATGTAACATAATATAATTTATATTTGAAACATCTGCAGCCGCACTAGGAGACCTGTGCATCAGCTGTCAGCATCTTATGCACCGTTAATTTACATAAATATTAGGATGCAAGCAAAGAATAATTTAGATAATAAGGTTGTTACTGTAACTAATAATGTTTTTCCTCTCTCGTAAGATGTGTAATGTATGACTGTAAGAAGTATTTGTGTGATGAGTGTAATGTGTAAAATGTGTGTGTATATGTGCTCGTGTGTAAACTAACACAAAACTCTCAGATGCACTTTGTCACACTCTAAAACTCAAATGAAAATGGTCAGAGCACATATCTAGATACCAGGCCAAATTGGACCTTACATATTGTGACAGCTCATAATTATTATTAATAAATAAATAATTAAATTCAATATAAAGCCATTTAAAAATATCATAGAAATTATATTTTAACCAATTAAAATGCATTAATAAGGATAAAGTTAAAATATATTCATTTTGAATATTGAGTATTATAGTATAGTAAACGCATAATATTGTGTTTAAAAAATCTCTAAATTTATCAAAACTGCTTAAAATATTCAAAAAGAATTAAATAATACAAGTACAAGTTGATTATATTGCAATAATAAAGATAAATAACATTTGTAATATAATTGAAAAAAATGGGTCAAATTTTTTTTTAAGTTACTGAGGGTGTTTTTGTATTACTCAAAAATTTTCCAAGTTTTAATGAAGGCGTTCTAGTATTACTGGAGTGTGTTCATATAATGATTGCTTATATCAAGGGTGTAGCTGGAGACACATACCCACCCATAGGTGTACATATATATGGGGTGGTCGGCTGACTGACTGCTACTATTACTGTTGCACAATATATAGTCCTATATTAGGGACTTATGATAGTAAGGTCTATGATACAAAAGCATTAATATAGGACATATCTATGATGCATAAGCATTATGATAGCAAAGTTGTGACTTGAAGTCCCATATGTATAAGAAATATAATAGTATGGTCTATGAAATAAAGCAAATATATGGTAGGTCTCAAATATGTAAAAGCATAAATATTAGGATTTTGCTTGATATTGATGGTAACGGGACATATATTGGAAAAAATGGCACTTGAAAAGGATTATTATGGTGGCGTGTAGATTGCTTCACAGCGTCAGAGACCTTGGTAAACTTGAACTCGCTAACCCATGTGTCCTAGACATAACAATCTTAGTGCCGGTGGTAAGTGGGTTTGTTGTAGCAATATGACTTGCCCGTGGACATCGCACGCCCCTACCATTTGTGGGTGGCGTCTTAGCGCATAGCGTTATAATACGTCGACTATCTTTCGGATTAGGGTGAGTGTGTTTTGACTTTTAAATGCAGCAAGCATACTCAACTCCATATCTTAGTGCAATAGTGTTATGATACATGGAGTTTTGGCTACTGATGTCTTAGTAGCGTGCTACTATGATACTTTGGTGGTATTTTTTGTTAACAACATTATCAATTTTGTTACCAAAGTCGATAGGGATCATGTGGGTGTGTTGTGAGGGGGCGCCATCCATATGATAGTTGCATTGATGCTTACTGCTATTTACAGTATTGTGTCGTGATGGATCTGAGCACACCCGTGTTGCGCCTGATGCGTCGCCTCTTCTAGTTCTGGTCGATGGATATATGCGGGTGGTGATGTCTGCTGCGATTATATGGGGGACCTTGGGATGGTGTAAGCCCGACGATAGTCGTATTGATGCTTGTTGCGTTTTGCAGCATTGTGTCTCTGCGATGGTTGTTTGGCAGGTCGCTATTCTCAATGGCACTCTCTTGCGTCTGTCTGCGTTTGACTCACAACCTAAGTAGCTTTGCCCAAATCGGGTCCCTTCATTACAGGACTGTATGACCTCTATGATGTTTTATGTAACAACATAATAATATATCTCTGTAAAGTTCCCACCTTTGAATGATTGAGGGCAACTTATTGGTGGGTAAGGCAAACATGATCGAAAAATGCATATACTCAACGTCAGTGACACACACCCTTTCTGATGGCGAATTATTAGTATTTTCGTATAACTGCCTATTGGCTATATCTGCCATTGAATTGGTTGGTGGAGCATATGTGTCGACCTCAAACGGGTGGTAGCATGAGGTAGAATCTGAGGAAAGTCTCAAGGCTGCGACTGAAAGCCGTGCAAAATGGGACCTCATTCCCTTGAGGTGACCTGTAGACTCATGACATGCTCTGCGGCTAATTAGGGTGCTGATGTCTCACACTTACATCATGTCTGCAGAAACGGCAGTCTGGCAGGTGGTGGCACTCATGGAGGGCTTTTTATGGCCAGTGTGCCTTTTGTTGCCTAATCTGTGTGACATACATTCACTGTAGCTGCATTTGATCATATTCTATGGCGTTTACATGCATGGACACGAGCGACTTCGGTTGATGTTTGTATTTACGCACTATTAAGGGGCCAAGTCCTCTTTTACTGGTACGCCAGTTATTTTGCTGTGGACTATGGTCCAGTTTCCAACTTAATGTCTGGTTGGCACTCACCGCACAGGGCATGTATGGAGCCGTGTGCCGCCCCACATTTTTTTAAATGTGGTTGAGTGAAGCCCTTGTATCTGGTATTTGATAAAAATATTGTGAGCCTTTTCCATAAATAATTAATATGCAATTAACTGTTGTGAACCTGATACAAGTGAAATAGGGACGATTTTTGTTCTTAACTTTTTTTTGAGCTCTGTCTTTGTGAAGAGGGTTCTTTAGCTTATAAGACACTACAAACAGCTTTCGACTGCTCTGGTGATTATTCATTCTTCCAAGAGACACCAACACCAACAGAACTAAGTTACCAGCATCCAAAGAAAATTTCAGCATTAAATATATTATTCAATATTCTGATTCAAAAAAATTGCAATGATTATATAAGAACACCTTAAATAACACCAACAGTGGTATCATTGACAAAATGATTTATGACAATAATGACCTAATAACAGTGCTGTTCCATATTGTTATATATTACTTAAAAATCCTCACTACAACAGGACAGGCTCATGTCCAAATGTAGACATGGTCCTATTTAGGTGGATTGATAATGATGATGATAATATAGTTACAGTGGAATCTCAATAACTCAAATTTGAAGAGAAATTTTACAAATTTCTAGTTAAGGAGTGTTCGACTTAACAAGAATTTTAAGTTCTTTTTCTCAAACATAAAACAAACACAAAAAGGTATACAGTGTGTTACTTAGAAAGTTTAATGAATGTAGTCATTCATTGCACCTTTACAAAGTACACACAATAGAACAGAAGCAACAAACATTTCTTTTGGATTTTATTGCTATGAGTTCATAGCTCGTAACACCACCAGTGATTTTTCCGGACTGATACGATTTAGGGACCTTCAAGAAAAGAGCGTACTCCTTTTTAAAATGCCGGCAACGTATCTCAAATTCCCCTGGTTCCCCTCGTGTTGCGGTTGTTTATGGGCGGCGGTAGTCACTTACCATCAGGTGAGCCGCAAGCTCGTTTGCCCCCTCTCCTATAAAAAAAAATCCAAGTGAAATATCATTATATTTTACTAACTTCGACTTACGGAGTGTGCTTTTGAAATATGAGTTATAGAATATGTAAATAGAAAATATGTACTAGCAGTACTACCTCACAGAGAAATAACATTTTGTTCACGTTAAAAAGTCTAAATTATTCAAGGCACTGTATATTTAAGGATTCAGCGGAAAAAACTTAAAAAGGTTTGATTTATCAAGATTACACTGCACTTAATGTCTATAACAATTAATCTCCATAGTGGTTGCAAAAATTTACCATTAACATGAACAGAATGTCATTTGACAATTATCATTTAGCGTTTTTGGTTCTCTTTTTTATATAAGAGGGTGCAAAGGAGTTTGCTGCTCACCTGATAGTAAGTGACTCTGCTGCCCACGAACAACAGCAACACTTGCGTAATTTTAGATGAATTGCCAGTCATTTATAAAAGAGTACTTTTTTCTTGAAGATCCCTAAATCTTATACCTCTAGAAAAAAGTTGCTGATGGTAGCACATTCTACAAAGTGCAAAAGTGGTGGATCGCCAATCATCTAGATGCTATGGATGGTATAGTGAGTTATTTTATTATATTCCTTACATTAAATTTAACTTCGGTACATTCAAATAATATAATTGGTATATCAAACACTAAAAGAACCAATCAATCCACAAAGTTGTAGCGACAACAATATCTGGTCTTAAATTTAATTTTAGAAATCAGTCCACAGTTTCCATTTTAATTTACTGTACAGTTCTAAATATTGTATGATGTTGGTTTTCTCAACTTTTCCTTTATAATATCACAAGGAGACTTTGTGTTGAAATTGAAAATCACTATATCTGTTTTAACTTTTTCTTTAAGATATGGTGCAGCTACAGGCCTTAATCTTGATGTCAAAACTTTGCCAAATGGAGAACATTTACCTCTGGGAATCTTTTGCTGTAATATGTATGACATATCTGTTACACATGGTAATAAAGGCTCAGGTTTTATTTCTTCTTGTGATTCTTCATCAATGTCAGTGAAGTTAAGCTGAAAAAGAGTCTCAAGTGAGCTATCTTTACTAAGTAGCTCTTCCGAGTGAGAGGAAGTAATGGGTTTGCAAGGAGTTTGCAATGCCTTCATGAGATCAATAACATAATCTTCATTATCTTCTAGTTTCATTTTCTTCATTTCTTCCTCCAATTTTTGTTTTTCTTCTTCTTTTTGCTTTTCCTTTTCTTTAGCTTTTAACATATTAGCAACTTGTTCTGCTAATACGCTAGTTATAGGACTATCACTTGCACTCAAAGAAGGTATAGGTAGTCTCTGATCAGGAGAAAACAAAAAAGTTTCTGACACACTTCCATTGTGAAACCCCTTTGGGCAAGGAATTGGTAACGCACTTTTTCTATTCTCGCTTGACACATTTTCCTTCAAACTGGTTTTAGAGAGATGACTATCAACCAAAGCAAATAAGGATGAATATTCTTTTGACTCCATTGTTTTACAGTAATTTTGTATTTATTATTGAATGATGTTGATAATGACCACTTATTTCTTTTTTTATATCTGGCTTTACGGCTCTGGGTTCTAGCCCTTCTGAGTCTGAAGTTACTATGTATAATTATCCTTCATAGTACACTCCTTCACAATATGTTGATGCGTTACATTGTGCAGCCCTTGTGAGATTTTGATGGAAACTTGAGCCAGCATGACAGCTGACAGATTGCGATGGTATGTCAAGGCGCCTAAGCAGAAGTACACCTTATCTTGAGAATCACATCACCATCAGAGGACTTGTCCCACTATAAGTTCACATGCGCAGACACTTAATGCACAAAATGGCACCACTTCTACATATCGAAATCCACTTCAAACCATTATTTAAACAATAATATAGGAACAGCTTTTGGTTTATACAAAGGTACTCTGTGGGAACAGCTAACCGCCACCGGGCAAGTTCCCGCCAAAACTTGTAGTGTTGCCCACAACTTGGAACCTGATATCACCACTTTTCACAGATTTAATAGCCTAATATAGCCGAATTTAGTAAATTTAAAGTAGCCCAAACATCAAAACTTCGCTATGAATAAATAAAAACGTAATTTTTAATAATTTGTATATTCATAAGATATACACAGAGTATCAAATTTAAAAAAATCAGCAATCATCATCTGCTGCCAGCAGCAACAAAACATGAGCAAGACTTTCACCGCCAAAGTTTTTTGTAGCCCAGACAGAGACATCGCAATGAAAACTCGGCAAAATCTTTAAACATGAGATTCCCTCCAGCATTCTTTATTTTTTTTTATAGGATAAGGGTGACAAAAGAGTACACAGTCCACCTGATGGTAAGTGGTTCCTGTGGCCCATAGACATCTACATCTATCCTCGATTAAGAATCAAAATGCAGATGCGTTGACGCCCGTGAGAACTAAGATGGAATGTCTCGTTTCCAGTAAAAAGGGTTTCCGGTTCTCTAAAAAGGGTTATTACAATATTAAGGAATTTATGGATGATAATAAACCCTGGAAATGAGGTGATCGCTACCAAGCTATTTCTAATTTGTTGTATTGTTAATTTGTGTAACATCATAATTGTAAGCTGTTATTTAAAAAAAAAGTCCCGCTGGGTTTCTTGCTGGTTCTTCCCAGGACAGAGGTTTTTTCCGAACCAGTGGTAATCAAACAAAAGAGTGACTTTCAATAAGTATTATTTATAATCTATATTGAATAAAAAAGTTTCTGTTTCTGTTTCTGTTTCTACACGCACCGTACGAAACACAGCAGCATTAAGCTGCTATTTCACGCTGGTATTCTGTGAGAGCGTGGTCCTTCCCCGGTCGAGCCGACCCATTCGTGCTACAACCATAATACTCGTATAGCAGCAGCATGGCTCTACCACGTTAAAAAATTGTTCCACGTTTCAATACTTGTACCAAAAATTTATGATATCATTGGGAGAAGCTGTACTGATTACTTCGATGCGCAACGTACTTAAAGAACGCCATTGGTTCATTATAGTTTCCTGGTTGATATTAGGTTTCCCTAATTGCCAGAGAAAATCGTCAACATTGGGTCTGCTGGCACACGTTGGTGATAAATGTTCAATTTTTTCTACTACTAACACATTAAGTGGTAGCCTGTCAAATTATTCCTTCACTAAGCACACGAGTACATGCACGCACAGGACCCTTGGAGAAATGTCGCAAATGACAGACAAATGAAATAGATACATAGCCGGTATAATAACCTGTACTAATGGGTGTCCCTCAGGGCTCGATTCTCGGCCCATTCCTGTTTCTGGTGTATATTAATGACTTACCTCACCTTGTAGGGGATAGTCATTATATATTGATACTTCCTTGATTTTCAAACTTAAACTTCAATCATTTAAATGTGACGAAGTGAATAATGCTATATCAAAATTAGTGCATTGATTTAACGTTAATAATCTGCATTTGAAAGGAAATAAAACTAATTGTGTTAAACTTACAACAATGAATGTTAAAAATCTGAATAACAATGTGTTTTTAAATGGGGAGAAATTGAGCCCTATTGTATCCACTGTTTTTCTTGGCATCACTCTCGACGCAAAGCTACAGTGGGGCCCCCATATATCCAAATTAGCAAGCAGGCTAAGTTCTGCAGCCTATGCTGTAGAAAGATTAGAGGTCTCACTAGTGTCGAGACAGCTAGATTAGTTTATTTCAGTTATTTTAGAACGCGATTGTAGAACGCGCAGTACGCTTCTCGAAAATCGACCGCGACTCTCGCGCATAACCCTGAGCTAACAGAATCGGGATGTCGTGAAAGCCCTGAACCCATTGCTGGCAACCTAATTGGAAGCCAGCCGACACTTTTGCGATGCGGACTCACTACTTTTTGATGCCGTTTTGGCAGTTTACCATATTTTTGATGCCAAAATTCCCACATCTGGATGTGCTACTGGACAAAGTAGCGCTATCCTAGCCTGGAGAAGAATAATTGAGTACCGTATCGCAAAGGCAAGGGCCCTCAACGACAGACTGATAAGCTTTAGGTGGGGTAATAAAAGGCCGAGAATTGTGCGTACCGTCAGGATGGCATTTGCTAGGACAAATATCAGTTTGTCCCAGCCGGATATAAAAACGCAAAAATTGACGGAGCCCATAGATGACTTGAAGCTGAGAATCGCTGCTTAGGGGAAGTGCATTCGACAATATACCGAGAGATCAACATGGTTCAACCAGAATCGTCTCTTCCAGAGTGATCAGAAGAGGCTCTATGAATCATTGGAGCGGCCAATGGTACGTGGAACGGGCCCAGCACCCAATCAGGTCGACACTGTCACATTCTGGCGTGGCCTGTGGTCAGAGCCCGTAAACCACAGCGAGGGCCTTTGGACGGAAGTTATGGCGAGTCAGTGTGCTAATGTTATGCCAATGGAACCCGTCATCATAACGCCAAATGAAGTAGCTGAGGCGGTCCGTATGACCCCAAACTGGAAAAGTCCGAGACTCGACAGACTGCATGGTTCGTGGTGTGTCACGCTGTGCTCGCTCGACAGTTTCAAGAGGCTCTCGACCAAAACTCACTCCCGAGCCTATTCACTACTGGGAACACTTATTTGGTTCCTAAAGACCGGGATTCCACAGACTCGAGCAAATACTGGCCCATAACTTGTCTACCTACCATATACAAGACACTTACATCCATTTTGAGCGCGATAATCACTCGTCACCTGAACTCAAATCAGGTGATGTCGCGCGCTATAAATGTCGGGGCGGTGGTCGTGGGACCTTGGAACCACTCCTCATTGACGCGGTCATTGGCAAGGTGGTTAAACGCAACCATCGGAACCTCTCCGCCGCCTGGATAGGCTACAAAAAGGCATTCGACTCAGTGCCTCATACATGGCTTAAGAGGGTACAAGCTGCTGTACAAGGTTGACTGTACAGTTCGAGACTTCCTCGGGCAGTGTATGGGGCAGTGGAGTACGATCCTTTGTCATCTAGGCGAGCGGATGACGGCTGCGGAGAGCCACATAAGGATAAGAAGGGGTATCTTCCAGGGCGATTGTTTGAGTCCAATCTGGTTCTGCCTCTCTCTGAACCCTCTCAGTACCTTACTGAAGGGTTCCAAAAGGGGATTTAAGCTTCGGAAAGGAGGAACAAAAGTGACCCACCTTTTCTTTATGGATAATCTCAAGTTATTCGCCTCCAGTCGCTCCCATCTTATGGAATTGCTAAACATCACTTGTGATTTTAGTTATAATAAGCCTGATATTCTGCTGATGGACTGGGGACATTAAAGGATATTTTTGGTCGACATTAACATTATGTATGACGAGAACCTCGTAAAAGCCGAAACAGATAAGCGAACAAAATATCTGGACCTGGCTCACGAGGTTACCGACATGTGGGGTGGACTGCCGACCGAAATTATACCTGTAGTCGTTTCTGCGAACGGGTTAATCCCAGTTAGTCTGAGGCGACTGGCACTCCGTGACGGATCGCTCCAAGCTCAATGTAGATGGCGGTGCTCCTCGATACCGCCCGCATCGTCCGCCAGTTTCTTTCCCTTTACCCCTAACCCTCGGCCATTTGGTCTCCCCTGCCGAGGGCTTCATCTTGTTGGGTTTTTATTTATTTATGTATTTATTTTATTTTATTGTTATTTATGTAAGTTTATCATTTTCATTTATAATTATGTATTTATACAGCCCAACCAGAAGAGAAAACTATATAGATATCCCACATAATAGTAATCACAAACTAACTAGAAACACTTGCCTATAATTTTTTTATACGAGAGGGGTCAAACGAGCATGCGGCTCGCTTAATGGTAAGTGACTACCGCCGCCCATGAACAATTGCAACACCAGGGGAATGACAGATGCGTTGCCAGCCTTTTAAAAAGGAGTAGGCTCTTTTCTTGAAGGTTCATAAGTCGTATCGGTCCAGAAAAATCGTCGGTGTTAATCGATTCCACAAGGAAGTTGTGCGAGGAAGAAAACTCACATCTTTTAAATCGCACAGTGGTGGACCGCCAATCATCCAGATGGTATGGATGGTATCGCGAACCTACCCAGGTGACGGAGCACCCTGTTGTGTAAGGTGAAATATTATCAAGAATTATAATAAAATTGCAGTTTTTGAAGTTAATAAATTTATTTATTGATTCTTTTAGAAGCGAAATTAAAGGAAAAATAGTAATAGCAAACGTGAAAGTTTTCAAAGATCTCATCAGGTTCGCCAACTGATTTCGCGCCTCCAACGATCTCCAACGATCATCAGAATCACACTCGAGAAACAGCTCAATGCGTCAACTCTCTTCTAAAACCCGCCAGTTTGTTTACAATACATACAACATTCAAAATAAACTGCACTTCTAAACACAAACACATAGATATTACAATATTTATAGCTAAAAATAAGAAATTGATTTTATTACAGAATTTACGTATTTCACTACCCATGGGTATTACAGCACCCTGCATTAATTATTTACATTACTTATAAGCATGCCAGTCAATTTTCAACCAGCACAAAACGGCGGACACGCATTGACAGGAGAATAGAAAAAATAACGAAGCTGTATTGCTACTCGTTAAAAAATATTATCAAAGTTACCACATGGTGATATAGCACCCTGGGTAGGGTTCTAGGGTTAATAAATTAGAAATCTGTCTTATATATCACATGTACCTAATAAAAATAACATGCGTGACTTTCGTGGAACACTCGGTTGGAACGAAGTTCATTTCGTAGTATATTATTATTGATAGATAAACTTATATTATTGATTAACAAATACAAATAAATGAATTACTAGCGTCTATTAAAATGAAGCGTCATTTAAAATAAAATAATATTTCTTTAATGGTAAATTTAGTAGCGAGCGGAACCCATTAATTTTCTTTCGGTTTATAGTTTGCAATTGGGTCCCGCCTGCTTCTAAGCTTAATTTGGTTAATTAACTTAGGCTTTAAGCTCATGGTATAGTCTGTTAAACCGAAGTAGAGTTTACTTTGTTAATTATTTATTTCAATTATGTATTCTATTCTCAATCTTGTCAATTTTTAAATTGTCTTGTTTACAGTCGGGTTTTTGATTTTTTTAATTATTTATTTTATTTTAGACTTGTCCCGACACACTTTTATAAACTAAATTTCATATGATAGCACGATGACCGACACAAACATGGCCCATTTTACATTTTTACCATTTTTTCAAAAACTAAACTATTCCTAATTACATTTAAACATATAACTTATATATATATATATATTTGCAATCGCCTTTTAATTTACTTTATTTTGATACCCTACTCGATAGATTTGGTAATTTTTTTTAAATAACGTATTATTATTTTGCGCCAAAAATCCGCCATTTTGTTTATTTTTTATCAAAAGATATCTAAGAACACTTGGGTTTCTAAGACGATAGGATACCTTAATTGTCGAAGTCCATCCAGCTGTTTGAAAGATACGATGTAATAAAGAAATTTACAAACATACAAGATAGGTACGCGCGAAAAACCCTTATATATAACCCTTCCTTGGCAGTTACGTAAAAAGTAAAATCCGTATTCAAATTGATAAAAACGAAGTTATTTATTTGCTACGTTTAGTGGTGAAATTTTCTCTTAAAAATCATATATGACTACCAGGGCTGTAGCAATAGTCGAATTTGAGGTAGGGCAGCATCGGTTACAGGTAGGGCGGAAGTAAAAAATTATCATAAGTGATTTGCCTTCGAAGCACGGGCTATATGAATAACCTATATCAATCACCATGTATATCACTGACCTCTATGTCAGTGATGTACATTCAATAGCTATTCGTAGACAAATAATTTCTGTGACAGAACATGAGCATGGATCTAAGAACTATTAAATCCTCAATGATGAAGAACAAGCGAACAAGATAGTTCAACTTCCAGATTTGGATGTAGATATCCACGTCTGAGTGAGAGGGAGGTAATAATTAATTGTTGGGTGGGCTGATACGAGTAAATAGATACGACCAAAAATACCGTTTAGATCACATTGTTTCTGAAAACTTATTATAATCATTAAAATAATAATAAAAATATTTAAAACAGTTGAATTCTACGATTTGCCATGTTATTAAAAATGCGAAGAACTTCGTTCAGATCAACTGATTTTGTTCTTTTCTTTTCAAGGGCCAGAAATAATATACCAGCTATTCTCTCGTGACCCATTGACAGCCTTTGAGGCCTATTGATTGCAGTTAAAGTTGAAAACGTAGATTCGTACACTGCAGTGCTACATCCTATGGTCGCCACAGATGCAAAAAGTTCATATGTATCTTTGAACGCCTGTCATTGCCTGTACAAAGCTTGCAATGTATTTTCCATTTTATCCTAGTTACGACTCAAGTAAGCTTTAACCACACTAGCCTCTTCTGTTGATGGAATTTTCAGACCTGAAAATTTTGTTAAAATTGTAAATTGAACATGACAAATTGTTTAAATTATAAAAAATTTCAAACTTAGCCAAGTTTTTCAGTGGATCCATTTTATCTACATCCAAATCATCGAGACTTGTAATTTCGAAATACTCAGACTTAAATGGCTCGTCGTTCTCTTCTATATTTTGCCTGGCGGAGGAATAGGAGGGGCCATACGTCAAATATTCATCCATCCGATTTTGTTTTTTTACTTGCGCTTCGAGGTCTGTGTCCTATTTTCAGATTCGCCGCAATCGTCGCTTGTTAGAGATTTAGCTTCTTCCAGAATTTGATTATACATTTGATTTGATCTTAATTTTATAATTTCATCTTCGACACACTTTATGATTGTTATGGCGTCTTTCAATCCTGCGCTTCGGGCTTGCAAAGCTGCGACTGCCGGTTGTAGCGTGGATAAGATTTTATTGGCCATAACCATGGCCATTCGGAATTCCAGATCAAGCATAAATTTTTTAATACTGATACTCTTGGCGGCGTCATCCCCTAAGAATCTGCCATTTTTAATTATTTCAAAGTCTGCAAACTCGATGAATAATTATCGTATACAACTTTTGTAACTGTTAAATGTCCAAAACAGCGTTGTTCAAGGAGTCGTCCTATCCTTTTTCCACCATATAAGGCAGCTATTTTGCAATTATGAAAGAATTTATGTAACATGATGCATTGGTCAAAAAATAAGCGAATGAAAGTTATTTCTGAGATAGTTCTGATGACTATTAAGTGCAAGCGATGGTTATAGCAGTGGACGTAAGGAATTTTTCGGCCCAATTTATTTTCTATTCTAGTCGCAACTCGTGAAACTTTCCCACTCATTACACTTGCGCCATCATAGCATTGATTAAGCATACAAGAGGTGTCAATGTTATTTTCCGTAAGGGTATTTAACGTTAATTCCGTGAAAGTGGCTGCATCAAGGTTTTCAGTAGTCTTAACCATCAGCAACAACTCATTGACGACATCACCCTTGACGTAACGCAATGCAATATTTTCGCGGTTATTTTTATCTCTTGTCCTATCTTCCATTAGAGTAAACCATTTCACGTCAGATTCATTAATATCTTTGACAATGGAACTTCATACTGCTTGAACCATTGCTTGAATTATTTGATTTTGGATTTCAGGTGAACGATATGTTGCGCTTTGTGGTATATGAGTGAGAACCTCGTTCAAATTTGGATCTTTAATACATGTGTATTAAAATTAATTCTGAAATAATCCTTGTTCTTTTTTTTCTTCCAAAATATAATTTCCACACAAAGCTAATTCATTGACAATTAGAAATTGTATTACTTCAATGATAGACTTCACGTAATACCTATATTTTTCTAATCCTTTTTGATTTATTAACGTTTCAACACTTCTAGATGTAGATATTCTTTGTAATTTCTCCTGCCACAGCGACATAGCTTGAATATGAGAAATTGATTTTTCATATTTTTGAAAACCAGTTTTAGAATCATTGGCATTTTTCCAGATTCTAAATCCTGTGGAAGTGTACGAGATCTGTTTGCTTCCATGAGGTAAAAATTGCTGGCATGGATAGCAAAAAGCAGCATCTTTCTCGAAAGAATACCTACTGCAACCATTTATAACGCTGGAACCAATCGAAAACAAAGACCCTGTTATGTTGTTTTGGATATGTGTCTAAAACAACTTGTTTTATTGGTTCTCCGATTAGTGCAATATCAGAGGAATACCATAGCTAACGTTACCAACATGTGTTGTCCAACCTGTTGGCATGGAACTAGGAGTAGCGATTGTAATTGTATTTTCGATTGTATTTTGTGCTTCCACCTGTTTTGAGCAGTGAGGCTCTTCGTGGTCGATTTGCTCTTCAATTCTTCGTTTTTTTTCCAAAGAAAATACGTATATCCATCGTGAAACTAATTAATCTTCAATTTATAGCAATTAGCAATAAAAATAACAATTGTACTATTTGTACTAATCACAGATATTCCCTAATAGCACAGTTTGCTTTTTTTTATAGGATAAGGGTGACAAACGAGCACACAGTCCACCTGATGGTAAGTGGTTGCTGCGGCTCATAGACATCTACATCTATCCTCGTTTGCGAATCAAGATGCAGATGCGTTGTCACCCGTGAGGACTAAGGTGGAATGCCTCATTTCCAGTAAAAAGGGCCTCCGGCCACCTGCACTCACCAAGCGAAACGTAAAGGTAAACCTCTACTTCACGCTGGTATTCTGTGAGGTCGTGGTACCACCCCGGTTCGAGCCGGCCCATCCGTGCGACAGCAAAAGCTGCCGCGTGGCTCTACCACTATTCAAAAATTGCTTTAGCAAAAGTTTACTTTACAAAAGTTTCCTTGAATTGTTCCTCAAATTTCCGTCAACTTCGGACTTTTCCATGTTTTACGACAGTTTGTATGCAAATTGCTATTAAATTTGACGTATTTTTCTAAAATAAATGTAGCCTAAGTTACTCCTTATGATATCAGCTATCTGCCAGTGAAAATCCCGTCAAAATCGGTCCAGCCGTTTCGGAGATTAGCCGGAACAAACAGACAGACAGACAGACAGACAAAACTTTTAATAACTGTGTTTTTGTTATAAGTACCGTATATACTTTCATATGCAATTAGTAAAAAGCTGTAATTTGGACATTACACACAGACACTTCAATTTTATTTATTTGTATAGATTATATGCATTCCGTTGTTGACAGATTAGCTAAGAAGCAGAAAAAATCAGGAAGCAGAAAAATCGTAGGAACTGATGAAAAGATTGGCTAATGGAAAGAGAAACTCATTCTTATATATATTTGTTAAAGAATTTAAAGAAGTTTCAAAGAGACTAACATATGTTTTAGGAATGCATAGTGATACCCACCTTCTTAATAGTTTGTGGATACGCACTTTTTTGCTGTTTATGGTAATGCCAATAATCGAAAAGCAAGACACTGTTATGAGAAATGGCGAAAACTGAGCGCTCGGCACACACGCTACGATTATTGGCACAGTTTCCTCCGATTCCATTTTATCTATTAACATTATTATACAACTTCGTTCAACAGTACAGTCAAATATCATAAATAAACTGTACAGTTTTTATCACACGCACTTTTCGATTATCGGTGCAGTTTAAACGGTACAGTGCGATCGTAGCGATTTCTCGTAGCGTGTGTGCCACCCATAAGGGTATTACATTGCCCGTCGGTAAATGCCCGACGACCTTAAAGATTTGGTCCCGCAATAAAAAATTGTTACTTCGGCACCATCTACCATAAGACGATCATTATACTACATAAAAAGGAACTGAAGATACGGCATGAATACAGATGTGTCGCAGTGTTATCATCGTTTTTGCCTATTTTTAACCGACTTCAAAAAGGAGGCCTTTTTTGTATGTATGTCACAGTCAGCAGCTGGCGGACTTCATGGAAAAAGGAAGACTCTTTATGATGAACTCTTTCTTCCAGAAGCGGCCCCAAAGAAAGTGGACCTGGTCGAGCCGACGGTTCGACAAAAAATGAGATTGACTTCATTATGACGACCAGACGACAACTGTTCAGTGATGTCTCAGTGATCACGAGTGTGAAAACTGGTAGCGCTCACCAAATGGTTAGAGGCACACTGAACCTAAACGTTAAGTTGGTGAGGTCTCGTCTAATGAAGTCAACACTCCGTCCCCCTCATGCTCCAGTCCAAAGACCCAAAACCTTTCAGCTCGAGTTACAATACCGTTTTCAGTGTCTAAAAGACTGCAATGAAGTGGACGATATTAATGACAAGCTCGTGGGAACTGTCAATGCGGTCGGAGCTAAATTCTGCAAGACACGCCGCAGAAGAATACAAAAACTCTCCGATCACACTCTTAATCTCAAGGCTGTTAGACGGGAAATGAAGCTGCAGTCTTCAGCAGACAGCTGTGTACAGGCAACTGAACAGACAGATCTCCGAATGCATGCGGCGGGACTTACACAACTTCATTACAGCTCGTATTGAAGAAGCGATCAAGCGGAACAAGGGCTATAAAGTTCCCGGGCGAGAATGAAATTACAGCGGAGCTTCTGAAAGTGGGTGGAAAATCGGTACTTGAAGTATTTCTGAAGCTCTTTAATTCCGTTCTCCATGATAGCATAACACCGGAGACGTGGTGCAGAAGTGCGGTGGTCATGTTCTTCAAGAAAGGCGACAACGCTCTCTTGAAGAACTACAGACCAATTTTCCTTCTGAGCCACGTCGACGTGCTGTGTTTGAAAGTCGACTCGAAGACTTCCAGTGTCCCGAACAAGCCGGTTTCCGAAAAGTCTGTAGCATTATAGATCACATACATACCCTTCGGTAAATTGAACATGAGTCCGAGGAGTACAATTTGCCACTATGTCTGGCGTATGTGGACTATGAGAAAGCCTTTGATTCCGTCGAAATTTGGGCGGTGCTGCAGTCCCTTCAGTGGTGCCAAGTTGACTGTCGGTATATCGAAGTGCTGAAGTGTTTGTGCAGTAGGGCTACGATGGATATTCGAGTACAGAACCAGAGTACGAAACCTATCTAACTGCAGAGAGGTGTAAGACGTTTTTTACGCGAAACTATTCACCGCTGCATTGGAAGACGTTTTCAAGCTACTGGACTGGAAAGGACACGGTATTAACATCAACAGCGAGTACATCACTCATTTTTGATTTGCCAAGGATATAGTCCTTATGGTAGAATCGCTGGAGAACCTAAGTATTATGCTCAATGACCTCAATAGTGTCTCACATTTGATAGGTCTTAAGATGAAAACGGACAAGACAAAGATCATGTGTAACGTCCATGTCATACCTATGCCGGTAGTTGTTGGGAGCACTAAGCTCGAAGTTGTTGACGAATATGTTTACCTGGGACAAAAAGTCCGATTAGGTAAATCCAACTTTTACCGAGAGGTCAATCGACGGATTCAACTCGGCTGGGCAGCGTTCGGGATACTACAGCATATCTTCTCGTCAGGTATACCTCAAAACTTGAAAACAAGTACAACCAGTACGCATTGCCAATAGTAACCTATGGAACTGGGACGTGTTCCTTCACTGTTGGCCGTATGAGGAAGCTCAAGGATTGTAGTACTGATATTTCAGTATCGCAAGTTTAGAAAACTGACAAAATAAGGTTTTCTCTTTTTAATATAATTAATAGAATCATACATTACTTTGCGGAAATTTACTTCGCAAATATCCGCGTTATAAAATAAAATGATGTGTCTTACCTAGTATGAAGAGCACCTCCCGCCTTCCCTCAATTGCGTGCACTATCCCCTTCACCACTAATCCTAGCACCGCTACTCCCAACACCACTACACTAGGCAAGACACACCACTGACGATAATACGACACGTGTTTCGCCTCTAAACGAGGCATCCTCAGGTGATATAGACACTACGGTGGCTAACCGCTACGTGAGCGGCGAGCCAAAACAAGTGCCTTTTATACAGACCGATGACGCAACCGCTCTCTACTTAAGGAGCGAGTGACTGCGTCATGCGATAAAACATGCGACCAATCACCGCCGGACTTACGCAGCCATTTGTAAAATTAAAAACAAACCGCCGCGCAACGCCCACCCTCCAAGCACGCAACCAATAGCCAATTACCGTGAGGGTGACAAACGACCATATTGCGAGGCTCTCTATTATTAGAGCTATTAACTCTTATGTACTACGAGTATTTTTATTTCTGTATAGAATCGTATAATATTTCTGTGATCTGTATATTAGATCATTATGGTACGTCATCTCTTATTCTTTGGTAATTGATAAAACCTGATCCGTGTTGCCAGTATCATAACTTTTATTTTCCTTTTTTAAATGTCGTTTAACCGAATGGACCTTAATTGTGGTTTTTGCTTTTTAAATTATGAACCGAAATAATCACAATATTAATATTGTTACGAGCTTGAGGTTCGAGACAATTAAAAACTGCCGATTGAATTACCAAAATGGACACTTTAATTACACAAGACTAATTACAATCTAAAATCACACTAATAATAAAACACAGTTCGCCGTTATTTCGCTTCGAAGTATTCTCTTGTATCGCCAATTCAATACTGCCTCGGTCGTGGTCTATACCGGCCTTATATAGGGCCTCAGATAGTTTCCAGAACCTTCTACTATAGCGACATCTAGAATGTTCGAGTACATATCGGTCCCGAAATTTCTGGAAGGATCTCGACTCTCCTAGTTCTGCTACTCGACACTAGAGGGCGCTAGTGTAACTAGTGTTGCCATGTACAAAACATTAATAGTGGCGCGCAATACTTTCATTTACTCGACACTAGAGGGCGCTAGTGTAACTAGTGTTGCCATGTACAAGATATTAAAAGTGGCGCGCAACACTGCCCCCTCCTAAGACATGCTCGTCCCGAGCATTATTGGCCCCATAATAACGCGCCAGTCGATCCACATGGACAATCTTAGGAGTACCTCTGGCACCTTTCTGTATCCGGTAGGTTACATCATTGATCCTTGTCACAATCCGGTACGGTCCGTCCCATTTAGCTTGAAGCTTAGGAGATTTCCCTTTGCTGCGAACTGGATTGTGTAACCACACTAGTGAACCTTCATCAAACCCCTTGTTGTTCATTTTGCGGTCATACCGTGTTTTCATCTTCTCAGACGTTTGCTGGCCCGTCTGTCTGACGTGCTCATAAATGTCATTCATTTTGTTCCGCAGGTCATTTGCATAATCGGTTATACTGCGTGGGGCATCAGGTGGTATTCCGGTGATCAGGTCTGCAGGCAGCCGCAATTCTCTCCCAAAGTTTGCGAAAGCTGGTGTCACTGATGTACTTTCGTGAACAGCGCGTCGATATGACAACAAAAACGGTTGTATGTGCCTGTCCCAGTCTCGTTGCCGTTTTTCCACAACTTTTGCTAGGTACCTCTCCAATGTCTGATTAAATCTTTCTACCATTCCATCAGATTGTGGGTGGTAAGAAGTTGTTCGTGTTTTCTGAGTACCCATAACTCGGCAAGTTTCCTGGAATATTTGAGACTCAAAATTCCTTCCTTGATCGCTGTGAATCTCTAAAGGTACTCCAAAACGACAGAAGACTTCATGAACTAGTTTATCTGCAACTGTTGAAGCTTCTTGATTTGGAATGGCGAAGACTTCTGGCCACTTAGTGAAGTAATCCATCACTACCATGAAATACTTGTTACCACTTTCAGTTTCTGGAAACGTCCCCGCAACGTCAATGGATAGCCATTGACGTTGCGGGGCCGTTTCCTCTCCCATGGTGCACCAACATTGTACAATTTCAATGCGCCTCTACTACGAAATTGAGGTCCCTTTACAGCCGCACAACTTGTACATTTGCGCCACCAGTCCTCGACATCGTCACGACAGTGGACCCAGTAAAACCGTTCTCGGATCTTCAGGAGAGTTCGCTTAACTCCCAGGTGGCCTCCTGAACAACCACTATGGTACAGCTGTAGGACATCCGGTACTTTAGCCTTAGGGACAACCATTTGCAAATGACACCTGTCTCCCCGACCATTTTCCCATTTACGGCACTGGACTCCATCCTGAATCAGCAAGCTGTCCCATTGGGCCCAATAGCTTTTCGTGGTCGAACTCATTGCTGAGACGTCGCTCCACTTGGGCTTAGGAGCACTGGCCTTCATCCATTCCAGAATCGGCTTAATGTCCGAATCTTCCTGCTATGCATGTTGTAGGCTGTCCTTCCATTCATTGCTGAGCTGGTCTGTCCTGAATATCCTCGCAGATACCACTTCTTTACCCTCTTGTCTAGTACAATGCTTGCAATCTTCAGGGCAAGGTCTTCTTGATAATGCATCTGCATTGCCATGAGATTTCCCGCTGCGATGTTCGATCACAAAGTCGTATTCCTGTAGTAGTTCAATCCATCTCGCAACTTGTCCTTCAGGATTTTTGAACTGCAATAGCCATTTCAGTGCAGCATGGTCAGTTCGTAAGTAGAATTTCCGCCCCAGGAGATATTTGCTAAAATGCTGCAAGGACTTTACCACAGCAAGCAATTCCCGTCTTGTGACACAATAGTTCCTTTCCGGCTTTGACAACGACTTGCTGAAGTACGCTATCACAATCTCTTGATCACCATTCCGTTGAGACAACACACCGCCAAGTCCTATATCACTTGCGTCTGTGTCAACTATGAATTCCCTGCCCGCATCAGGGTACCCCAAAATAGGTGTTTTGCACAGACGGTTCTTGAGCTCCTAGAATGCAATATCGCAACTTTCATCCCAGCAGAAATGTCGCTTCTCCTCGGTTAGCTTGTGCAGAGGTTTGGCTATATCTGCAAAGTTCTTCACAAATCGCCGATAATAAGAGCACAAACCCAAAAATGCTCTAACATGTGTCTTGTCTTTTGGGACCGGCCACTCCTTGACAGCAACAATTTTCTCTGGATCCGTGCGGATACCTTCTTCCGACACTACATACCCCAAAAAACTAACTTGCCGTTTGAATAGTGAGCACTTCTTTGGACTCAACTTGAGGTTGGCACTCTGGATCTTCATGAGCACGCGTTCCAGGTTTTGAAGGTGTTCCTCAAACGTACGGCCTACGATGATGATGTCATCCAAATAGACCAGACAAGCATCTCCAATTAGCCCGGTAAGTACAAGCTCCATCAACCTTTCAAACGTTGCTGGAGCATTGCACAATCCAAACGGCATGACTTTGAATTGCCACAGACCCTTTCCTGTGGAGAATGCAGTTTTCTCCTTGTCCTTATGGTCAATTTCAACCTGCCAGTAGCCACTTTTCAGATCTAGCGTACTAAACCACTTTACGCCTGTAAGCATGTCCAGCGTGTCATCAATTCTTGGCAAGGGATAGCTGTCCTTCTTTGTAACGTCGTTCAGGCGGCGATAGTCAACACAAAACCGCATGCTGCCGTCCTTCTTCTTTACCAGCACCACAGGTGAACACCATGGACTAGATGAAGGTTCAATAACACCATCCTTCACCATTCCCTCAATCATGGTTTCCACTTCCTTTTCACGTGCTACAGGCAATCTTCTTGGCCGCTGACGAATAGGCAATTCTTGTCCTGTGTTTATTTTGTGTTGAACTAAGCCAGTCTTTCCTATGTCAGCTTCGTTTGACGAGAAAACATTGGCGTGCTTGAGTAACAACTTCTTCGCCTTGACCATTTCATTCGGGGAAAGAACGCTGCGACAGTCTTCTAAAAGTGTGGTCACTATCGTTTGTCCATCCTTGCTGGGGGTCCCGGTCGATAGATATTCGCATTGACGCAACCAATCCACTTCCTCACTAGTACCAACCAATGTGCCTTTTTCTATAATCTGTTCCTGATCACAAAGGTTCAACACACGTACTCCTGAGATGTCGGTGGTTCTGACCAAGGTTCGAGCCACTTTCCATGGAAGGTCATTGTCTACCCTTTCCACGAGTACACAACGATGAGCTTGCACAGGACTCCGAGAAAGACTAACCGGCACAATCGTTTCCGATCACGGCGGAAGAACAATCTTCATAAGGCTGTACACATTCCCTGGTAACGCCCCTTCCACGAAAAGTTCTTCTTGTCCACATTTCAAAACACCTTGCTTAACGACGATCTCACAACAATTCTTCCTCATAAAGTCTAGGCCCAGGATGCAGTCGTCCATTATATCAGCCACGATGACATTATGCAGGTAGATCATGTTGCCTAGCTTCAACTCCATCTCCTTCTCTCCACGGACGGGTATGCGCTGACCGGTGGCTGTCACCAAATTAATGCGTTCTCGGTTGTATGCGGAGTCCCCAAGGAACCGACTTATAAGTTGGGAACTGACAACCGTGCGAGAGGCTCCAGTGTCTATGGTCAGTTTACACGGCGTTCCGTTGACTTCGCCCTTGATGATTAGGCTGTTCCCATCATGGGTTTGTGAGATCGAAATCCTTGGGGCTCTTTTAACATCAGCCAGCACCCGCCCCGCAGTCCTGGCTTTTACTCGTTTCCCTGCTGCTGCTGGGCAGTGCTATTATCCGCACTACAGCTACACTAGCTGCTGCAACCTCCCTGACGCGGTGGGAACGATGATCCTGCCGCACGGCTTCCACCTCCAGTGCATGGGTCAGGGCGTCCTTAAGCGTCTCGTGGTGCCCGAGCCTCACAGCAGCTCTGACTTCAAGGTCGCGGATGCCGTCGATGAAAGTCTGCACCAGGTTCCATACAATGAGCACAGGTACAGTCTGGTACGCTTTTCGAACCAGCTTCTCCACCTCAAGGGCCCACTGCTGCAGGTTTTCGTTACTGCGTTGCACGCGATCTTTGAGCTGCGCACGAAAGACGTGTTCCAGGTGAGCATCGCCATATCTCGCCTCCAATGCCTCAAGGAGCTGCTCGTAAGTCACTTCCTTACCGAGCGCTTCCAAAACAGTTAAGGCCTGGTCGCGTAGGCCTAGGGTGAGAGCAGTCATGGCATGACTTTTATTCCAGCCGTTCGCTTTCATGACAGCCTCGAACTGGATTTTGTAGGCCGACCAGGAAGAACTCCCGTCGAACGGCCGCACTTTGAATCCACGTAGCGAAGGTGTTGTAGCTACCACGGGAGCTGTGATTCCATCCCCAAGTTTGAGGTCGTCCAGCGTTTTCTTCACATCAGCCATCACGTTATCAACCCGATTGTTCACTTGATCGATTCGGGTTTCAGCTTCCGACAGGCGGTTGTCATGTTGAGCAACCCTATCCTTCACTTCCTTTATCTCTTTCCCGAAGGTAGCGTGAAGGTCCTTCCTGAGGAGCATCTGTTCTTCCATACCGCGCTGCAGCTGCTCTTCCAGCCGACGGGTCTGTTCCTCCTGTCGGCGGGCCTGTTCCTCCTGTCGGCGGGCCTGTTCCTCCTGTCGGCGGGCCTGTTCCTCCTGTCGGCGGGCCTGTTCCTCCTGTCGGCGGGCCTGTTCCTCCTGTCGGCGAGCCTGATCCTGCAGCATCATCATCAGAGCACCTAAGTCAGGTGCTGCAGATGCAGGAGCTGCTGACGGGCCAGCCTCCGTGGTTAGCAACTGGCCCTCCGACGTTTGCGGCGTTGCATTACCAAATCGTCTCTGGTCCGTCTCCTGTTGGCGTTGACTTCGGGTACGGATACCCTCCGTGTCGTCGGTAGGTAGGTAAAATCGGCATATTTGATCCCACTTCTGACACCAATTGTTACGAGCTTGAGGTTCGAGACAATTAAAAACTGCCGATTGAATTACCAAAATTGACACTTTAATTACACAAGACTAATTACAATCTAAAATCACACTAATAATAAAACACAGTTCGCCGTTATTTCGCTTCGAAGTATTCTCTTGTATCGCCAATTCAATACTGCCTCGGTCGTGGTCTATACCGGCCTTATATAGGGCCTCAGATAGTTTCCAGAACCTTCTACTGTAGCGACATCTAGAATGTTCGAGTACATATCGGTCCCGAAATTTCTGGAAGGATCTCGACTCTCCTAGTTCTGCTACTCGACACTAGAGGGCGCTAGTGTAACTAGTGTTGCCATGTACAAAACATTAATAGTGGCGCGCAATACTTTCATTTACTCGACACTAGAGGGCGCTAGTGTAACTAGTGTTGCCATGTACAAGATATTAATAGTGGCGCGCAACAATATTTATGTGACAAACTTCGTGCAGTTTCTGCCGACTTCAAAAAGGAGACGGTACTCAATTCGACTGTATGTTTTTTTATGTGTGTTACCTCATAACTTTTTACTGGGTGAACCAATTTCGATGATTCTTTTTTTATTTGGAAGCTGGTATTGGATTAAATGAAAAAAATGTTAATGGAATTTGATCAAAGTCAGACCAATAGTTTTTGAGTTATTGTTAATAATTTATATTGAAGTCAGCTGTACAAAATTTTTAATTTTAAATTATATGTGACAACGTTCGTCTTGTACTATTGATGTGGATGTGGATGCCTATATTTCAAAGCTTCGTAATTACTACCCTATAAATTTTTTATTGTTTTATGGTAATTGTAGGAACGAGACAGCGAGACAAAAAAGTGTGTTTTGTGCGTGTGTGGCGGGAATCCTTACTTTTATGAGTTATCAAAATTAAGCTTTATTTCATTTTACGTGGTAGAGCCATGCTGCAACTATGTTATGATTGTAGCATGAATGGGTCAGCTTGACCGGGGAAGGACCGCCCTCTCACAGAATACCAGAGTAAAATAGCAGCTTAACGCTGCTGTGTTTCATATGGTGAGTGTACAGAACCGGAGACCCTTTTTACTGGAAACA